CACCATCACTCTCCCTCCTGCATCCTGGCACCTGATTCCAGCATGAATTCGGTGTTAAAAGATCCTCTCCAATGTCCTCCCATCACTCCTCCTCATCCTCTTTCAGCTCCGCCATCACTCAACAGATCTCCTCATGAACACACGGTCTTACCGCCTCCTTCTTCTTCCTCTTCGTCCTCCATTCCTTCCCTTTATTCATCCATCACCCCCCTCTTGGTGGACTTATCAGCGCCTGAGAGTGAGCAGATTCTCCCAGAGTCCCAGCTCATATCCAGATGTTATTCCAAGCTCAGCTTCATCAACGAAGGACAACCATCGGCGTGAAGAAGACAGAAGATCTAAACCCCGCATGCTGCACCCAACTCACTGCATGACAAACATTTCGGCATGGGAGTTAAAATGTAAATATTACCGGCTGTTTGCAGATCTGATAATAAAATAGTTTGTTTTACAGTTTTGATTTATTCGACACGTTAATTATGAGCCCAATTTCTTCCAAACCTACTTAGAAGCATCCCATAAATATGGAAAGAAGGATAAGACCAGAACAAGATGCTCCTTTGCTGTTAATTCTCAACTCTGGCATTACTACTAACACATTTCTAAGGACTTCAGTTTAGATGTTAATTAGCGGTCATTTTTCACAGTTTTTGGCCTGCATCGATGGAAAACTGGACGTCTTCGGAGGCCAAACTCAAGCTCACTGTCCCTTATGTCCAGTATATTTCATTCACACTGCCACACAAAATAGTTCCTTTGCTGTTCATTCTCAACTCTAGCATTACTACGAACACATTTCCAAGGAATTTAGTTCAATTCATGTTAAGTAGATGTCATTTTTCACCGTTTCCGGTAGTTTTTGATGGAAAACTGGAGGCCAAACTCAAGCTCACTGTCCCTTATGTCCAGTGTATTTCATTCACACTGCCACACAAAGTGATGACACAATTTTATTGTAGCTGCTACTAAATCTTGAATGAGGGGAATTAAAGGAGAGTCGTCAGCCTCCTGAAAGACTGCACCGTGGGACAAACGGCTCCCCAGTCCACAGACTCGCCTTTTCCCAGCAGATACTAGTGGCGACCTTTGAAGTTTGCGTGTTCGTAGAAAACCCAAAACCCTGCAGGAGTGAACCTCCCTCCGGTGGAAGTGCGCCAGCAACGAGGGACAATCCTCCGTCGCCTCGAACACACGACCGGAGAAATCTGATTTGACGTAGAGCTGGAGCTTCTGAGGATCTCCGTTTGCCTGGAGGAAGAGGAGGAGGAGGAAGGGTTTGGAGAGATGTGGATGGAAAGGGAAAACTGACAGGTGGATGTGTGGTGGAGGAGTAAAGAAATTCAACAACAATGGACAAGTGTCAGGGTAGGTTTAAACTAATATCACGCCAAGAAAAACACTTTTAACAAGTCGTTGAGTTTTAAATGTGGTTTTTAAGACTTCTATTTCTCATAAGTTTCCTAGAAATCAGAATCAGAATCTTTAAAATACAAAAAATAACTTGGCTTTTGTCAGAAATAGCTTCCTAAACTCACCTATAAAACAAATAGAGCATTAATGTAACTCAGCCTTTTCATTGCATTTTAATCAGAAACAAAAATACTTAATTGATCCTTGGGCGAAATTTGGTGACATTATTTTGCTCAATTTTTAGAATCAGAATCAGAAATAAGATGTAAAAGAATCTGAATAAAATATAAATACATAAATATCAGTTGTAAAAATACCCAAAAAACTAATTAAAAAAGACTGAACTGATGAACTGTCTGGGAACTGAACAGGAATCTCAAGCTGCAGTTCAGGTAATGACCACTAGATGTCGGTGTAGTTTCACATTTTATTTCCCATTAATTCCTATTAAAAAAATTAGGATGCAATGGAAGAGAGTGGGAGGGATGAACCCCTCTTTAATGGTCACACATGCAGAGCACACAGCACACACAGTGACATTTGTTCTCTGCTTTCAACCCATCCTAGTACCAGGGGCCTTTCTCATTTCACTAATTCCCCCTCCTCGATTCCCCTCCTCGACTCCTATCCTCGAGACTTAGTCCCGCCCACAGGAGATGCGAGCGGAGGAGTCGAGGAGGGGAACCGAGGAGAGAGGAGGGGAAGCAGCAGGCGGTTAGAGAAATGAGAACTCCTCTCCTCTGAGCGGTCATTTTAAAGAGACGTCCATTAATGATGACAGGAGGCACAGCAGCCCTCTGTCTGATGGACAGATGTGTTCATGACGACTTATATATTTACTTTTAATTCATTCACAGTGCGGTATAATGAGACAATAACAGGCTACAGATGCGGACATACACACACACATATATATAGGTATATATATTTATATAAATATATACAATGTCAGAATCAAACAAGTATGAGAACACTCACAGCATAATAACGTAACACTATCAGAGACTGGATATATCCCCCCCTCTCTCTGGTCGCTACAATACACATACACACACACACACACACACACACACACACACTGTACCACACGCACCTCCAGCTCCTAAAGCATATAATCAGGCTACAGCCGTTGTGTATTTTATTATGTGAAGCACTAAATGGTTTTAGACAAATATGGACTCTTTGTTTGTAGATATCCACTAAACTAAAGCAAATAAAGACAGTAATGTAGGCCTGTTATACTGAGTGATATATATCATACACACTGCTCTGCTTTCTGCACAGACCGGTGCCTTGCTCAAGGGCACCACGGCAGGGCAGGAGGTGAACTGGGACCTCTCCAAGTAGCAGTCCACACTCCATATTTAGGTCTGGTCGGGGACTTGAACCGGCGACCCTACGACTCACAGTCCAAGCCCCTACTGACATGAGGCAACAACATTGATTGATTGATTGAAAAGTTTATTAACAGCTTGTATATTGGGTACAGTACAGTACAGCTCAAAACATACAATTGTTAAGGGGATGCAGACCAGAGAAAGACTTTCGTCTTGTTTACATCAGGGTCCCCCATTTCCAATTCATCATATCATTTAAGACATATAAGACATATTTGACATACAGATGGCTTATTTACAATTTACATACAGGTGGTCTTTTACATACAGATGGCTTATTTACAATTTTCATTTTAGATTTCGTTCTAATACATCCTAACCGGACATTTAAGACATACCAAGTCTACAGATATACAGTTAGTAACAGAGTCTAAAATGCGAGTATATACATAGATGGGGGGGGGAAGCTGTCCATTGTACGACAGGTTGAGATTTGTACCATTACCGGGGCCAGTTTTGCAATGCTCTCCCCCTAAGGTGCTCTTTAAGAGAGGTTTTGAAGGTAAGTATAGTTTTACTTTCCTTTACAGTTGTGGGAAGAGCGTTCCACCTTGATGTGGCATAATTCCGAAACGTGTATTCACCCTTTTTTGTGCCAAATCTGGGTTTTACATGATTTGTGGAGCTCCCTCTGGTGTTATGATCATGGTATTCCTTGACCTTTGGGAAGAATTTTGACATGTACATGGGTACCATAGAGGTGTAGTGGATCTTGTAGACCAGGCCCATTGCAAGTAGCTGTACTCTGTCGTCTACTCTAAGCCATCCTAGGTTGTCAAAGTGGGCAGAGGTGAGGTGGGTTCTAGATGGAAGGTCAAGCAGTAGTCTGACCTGTTTATTTTGCGATGTTTGAAGTTTTATTTTTAGCGCCTTGGAGGTGCTATGGTACCATGACGTGCAAGCATAGTCATAGTACCCTTGAATGAGTGCTCCTGCCAGAGTTTTCAGGGTGTTTTTGTTTACCAGAGAGGAGATCCGGTATAGGAATCGAGTTCTTTGATTGACTTTTTTTATTACATTGGATGCCATTTTGTCACAGGAGAGGTTTGCCTCAAGAATAGATCCTAGGTATTTAATTTCCTTCTTACTAGTGACAATAATGTCACCCACTGCAACTGAGAAGTCGTCGGATTTGCTGAGATTATGTTTCGAACCGAAGAGAATGGACTCTGTTTTACCCAGGTGTAATGATAATTTATTATCAATATCAACAATATCAACATTACAATAGTTATTACATGCAAGACAGAAAATCACTCCAAGTTTAAACTGTATAAAGGGTCACCAGTTTCAGGGTGTTACTATAAGTGTCACTTAATTAAATAGCTAATTAATTTGAATATGAATCAGCTGAGAAAATATATTTAAATGCATTTGGCATTTACCTACATGTCGTTACAAGAGACGCCACAAGAGAGCAGCATTTCCTCAGTGAACAGACAACAAGCGCTAATATGTCTAATTTAATTGAGATGTCACTGCATCAATAAAAAAATACGGTATATGGTATTTCTTTAGGCTTTTCTTTAATCGATAAATCTGGAAAAACAAGCAGATTAATACATTGATTGTTAGAAATAATCAAGTATAGCAATTTAAATAACATTTGTCTGATAAATGTAATGCACAATGAAACTAAACTCTAGTTTTACTTAAATAATAAAACATTTAATACCAATAAAAACACTCGTATATATAATTTATCCCCCAAATGTGACAAGTTTAAACATGTATATCTCCAAACACAGTCTATTTTGTGTATAAAATAATAATTTCCCTTTCTTTTGTACAGCTTTTGGTCACCAGCGCCCACCACGCGACACCGTGTGCTGTTATAAAAACATCAGTATTACATATCGAGCTCCAAAATACACACAACATCAATATTTGTTGTTACGGGTAATAAGAGCTAGCTTGTTTTCATTGGAGCCTTGTGAAAGCAATCTTTAATTGCCACGCATACCATCACACACACACACACACACACACACACACACACACACACACACACTACTTGCTCATGGTGAGCGACTTGTGGTGAGCTGTCAGAGATATTTAAGATGATGTAGGACAGGCAAGTGTTGGCAGACTCACACACACACACACACACACACACACACACACACACACACACACACTCACAGACCACAGAGGAGGAGCGACAGGAAGGCAGACAGGCTGAGGAGTAATGATAGGTGACTATTCTTCCATCGAGAATAAATCACGCAGAGCTGACCACCGAACTGCCATTTGGACAGAGACACTAACAAACATTTAAGAGAGGGACGGACGGGACGTATGGGGGAAATTCTCAGGGTAAAACACACACTTTTCTTCAACAATGTAGCGTTTTTATTCAATTGTATTCCTCATACGGAGAGTTTAAAATACATAATGCAGCAGTACAGTCACTGCATTGATATGAGATAAGTTAACTTCATAGTTTTAGTCCGACTCAACCCTAAAGTGCTTTTTCTGTCCTGGTTTGGTTAAAGAATTAAGAATTAATTAATTAATTTAAATCACAATTCAAAGAGGAGATATCTCTGAGTAGAGTTGTTAAAATATATGAATATTGTAAAAACAAATATGCTTTACTTAGATATATTAAGGCGTTAGTGACAATGATTAACCTCTAACATACATTTTCTCCCGTTCTCTGCCATCACGACATCTGGGGAATTAATCATCCTTTCTAAATCCGGATATCCCATTATTCATGAAGTGTTCGCTTTTATAGAATAAAGCTTTTTTTACTCACGTGCTGCAAATGTTTAATTTGTATTTTTGATGGATTTGACCCCGCTTGAATGTCACTGATTATTGTTTGAAGACGGTTATACATGTAATTTGTTTTCACGTATGTCAATCTGTGTTTGGGTTTCCCTCCCAAACCATGTCTCCTCCCTCCTCCCTCCCTCCCTCCCTCCCTCCCTCCCTCCTTTCCTCCCTCCTCCTTCCCTCTACATGTGTGATTCTCCTGCTCTTTACTCCTCAGCAGCAGCAGCAGCAGTGTGTCCTCATCACTCTTCGCTCCTTCTGCCGGTGTTTTGCCGAAAAAACAAAAAGGGGGATACGTTGGAAAATTCATATTCTCTCAGGCTGGATTCACTCGTCTTCACCAATGGATGGAGTTTATTCCCCAGCAAGCACAGTGACTTCTTAAAAAGTGAGTGAACATCTAGTACATACTTAAGGTCTTGTGAAAACTACAGAAACAATAAGCAAATTGTAAAAACAACATGGTAGAAAATAACGCCTGACAATAACAATTTCATGTCAAAATGCACATGTGAACGTAAGGAAATGTCATGCTTTTAACACTATATACTCAAATAATGGTTGATCTGATGCTACATAACTGGTTTTATATATGTAAAGTAGGGGGAACTAAGTCCAGAACCTTTAATAAAACCAAATATTCATCATCAAACATACTTTAACAATAATAATAATATGTATAACTACATAAAGAGCTGTCACTTACTGTAAGAAGTGATTGAAATAAATGCGTTTCTTTGAGAAAATGCACTTAAAGATTGTTAAAATCCTTCACAAGCGGTTGCATTATCCAATATCTGTTACACTTTTTATATTGGGTATTTAAGTAAATGTACATTTGTCAATTTTATTTTGTCCTTTTTCCCTTGCACTTTATTTGAGTATTTCAATGTTATGCTACTTTGTACTTCTACTAGTACTCTCTTTTACTTGTAACAGACTATTCCCACACTTCTACTTTTACTTAAATACAAGATGTGAGTACTTCTCCCACCTCTTGGGGTCATAGATGAAACACTGCTGCTGCTAATAATATGAATAAAGCCGAACAATGCGAGCTTTATTCCGTGTAACAACGAGGCTAATTGTGTCACCGCCGTTTTAATCCCTGCTCATTAGCATATCTCGTCAATAGCGGTTCACTTGGCACAGCTGATCCAAACGGGGCATTGTTATTGTTATTATTATTATTATTAATGTTTATTATTATCTGCAGCTGTGTTTGTCCTGCTGGTGAAATCTCCTAATGCTATACTGAACAGAACAGAAGGAGAAACACTTCTAAAAGTTGACACTTAACGACAAGTAATTTAACAGAATATCAAAGAGATTAAATCAGCATTCATATCATGTGTATATCTTTTGATAATAGGTAATAAATAATGAACGCATTATTATTTTGGTGTTGTATGAATGGCGTAGATCAAGTAGGGTCTGTATTTGTGTTTAAACAAACTACCAATTAAGCAATTAAGCCGTGATGAGTATTTAAGCAACACAATCTGACTAAGCATTGTTTTTGAGATAGCCTTATAGGAAATGGTTTATTTTAGGTTTAGGCAGTTGTAGTCAATTATAAAAAGTATTGTGATAATGACAGTAAATGTGTTTATTCCCACAGTCTCATCTATTGTTGACTTAGATGTTCAAATTCAAATAAAAGACTACAGCAGAGTCTGATAGTAAAAACATTTATTTAGATAGTCCTCTGTTGTAAAGTAACATTTATATTTTGATTAGTTTAGTCTGTAGTGTTTTCCATGATGACCTAAGTCCATGGCCATGAGAATAAACTCATATATGTTGAATTTAATCTGCCTTTAGTATTAGATATGATTGTTTTGCATCCGTCCCTGCAATCAGCTATTAAGATTTGACCTACTAATTGATTAATTTAGCAGCTAAGTGCGTGGAGTTTCAGTGCGTAGCTCACTAAGGCGCTTTAAAGGTGCCTTGTCGTTCGTTGTAAACAAGCAAACGTTTTGTTTACAGCCATTGTTATTCCCATATTGTGTTTATCCTTGAGATCTAACACATGATGAATGATGTGTCCTCCTCATAAAACCCTTGTTTTCATGCGTGAGACAAATAAAAAAAATGGTTTGTACTTCTCTTTGTCTACGAACAAGCTTGCACGGTGTCCTTGAATCCCCTTAAGCCTCTGAAAAGCCCCTCTCTCAGGATCATTTTGACCCTTCTCACAAACTTTTATGCGTCACAAGTCCCCAATAACTTCTTCATAACCTACCTATAGTCAAATTGAGCCCATTTACTGTAAATGTAACCTCCTCGAGGACCCTATGGACCCTCTTGGGTGTCATCAGACTCCACTTATATCCCCACTTCACAGTTAATTTAATTACAGTGAACACCTCAAATGTAGTTAAATTCCCTTGAAGCTCTCTTAAAGACACTCAGGAGACCCCCCCCCCCCCCCCCTTAATTAGACCCTGAAAAGAGGGTTCAGTGTGACAGTCGGAGGCTACTGAGTGTGTGTGTGTGTGTGTACATTTGGCCTCCATGTGTGCTTGTAAAGTGTGTGTAGGGAGTGTGTGGTCTCTTGGCTGCGCGGCCTCTGAACGTGTCGCTTGAAGTGGTTTCATGTGTGAGAATTTGGGAGAGAAAGACACGCTGCGTTCGTTATGTAAAGGTGTTTTTATATTATAGGAAATTACTTTTTTCTGTTTGGCATGGACATAAATACGCTTTAATTTTAAGTGTTGATCCAAAAGGCTCAGATTTAAGTGTGTAGTCAGAAGTCATAATGAAAAATTACGTTGTTTGAAACTGAAAAGGCGATAAAAACGGAGAATTCATAAGAAAATCTAAATTAATAACTACATTTAACAGAGACGTAATGCATTCAAGTTTAAAAAGATAGACATTTATGTATTAATTATGTAGTCATTCAGATATTGTGCTTAAATGTGGATCTAAAATGTTATTATATATACTGTTATTGATTTAATATCTTAATTAATTAATCTGCAGACTATTTTTAGATTAATCCAGTAAGTGTTTGGTCTAGAAAATGTCCATCCTAGTTTCTCAAAGTCCAAGAAGAGGTCTTTAAATGTCTTGTTTTGTAAGTTCGAACCGAAAAACTATCACTTTTATACAAAATGAACAGAAATATTAATATTTGAGAGGCTAAAAACAGCATTTTCTGACATTTTTCATGAAGAATTACTGATCAAAATACAATCCAATTTGCTGCAGATGGAGAAAAACTGTCCGAGTCAAACTGAATTTCACCATATTTTTACATTACTGTACTTTTTGAGTGTGTTTGCACATTTAATGTCTCCTCATTAATGACTTAAACTCGTTAGAGGAGAAAATATGTAGAAGGGAAGAGGGTGATTATCATAAATTGCCCAAAATATTCCAAAAATGTGTTTATTAAAAACACACCGAATGAGAGGAAAAAGTTTGCACGCAATTTCATTAATTTTTGCGTTTCAGTTGCTTGTGAAACAATGTGTGACGTGTCTGAACACGGACAATTTAATTAGCATTGTGTTGTTTTGAGTTAAATTACACATGAATAAAGCCTTAGTTATTTTCCTCCATGAGTGAGAGAGATTTTTGGTGCCATTTCCAAAGTTCTTCTGGTTTTAGTGGCCTGCGAAAAGCTCAGCCGTCATCACATCTGTTTTATGATGAAGGGATTAATGGTTAAATTAGCCGAGGCATCGTGGGATCTGAGATCAGCAGCACGGAGGTCTGCAATATGATTAAACTGCTTTTTAATTGTATATTGTAGAAAGATATTGGACACCTTTAAGGCCGCCTGTTTATAAGGGGATGATATTGAATTGGTTGGACACCAAATTCTGCTTTTAGGGTGTTTTTTTGACTTGAAATGAAAGTCTTATCTTGTTAATAATCCACACCAATTTGTAATGTTTTAATTGTTCTTCGTCACAAAATATCAAAAGTGTAGCATGGGTTCAAAAGGCTGCACATATGTAAGACCTGTGAGTTGTTTACAAGTTAATTTTTATTTGCCAGTTAGCTGATTTCCGTGGGAACAGGAAGTGATTGTGTACGTACCAGACGACGTTCACTTTGTGCTAAGCTAGGCTAATCACACCCTCAATAATACACACAGAGATGAAATTGATATATATCTTCTTGTGGGTTTTTAAGGCATTTTCTGGAAAGTTGTGACAACAAGTATTTAAGAATACAGTTTAGTTGTAGGAGAACAACATTTTATAGAGACAACAAATGTGTAAAAACAACACATTTAGTTGGAATAAGTGCCCAATAACTTCCTAAAGTCTCCGCTTAAAGACAGTAGATATATTTCCGTTATGAAGTGCCATGTAACATGTGATGTCTTCTCATCATGATGGCTCAACAGCAGGATACTTACACCACGTGTTCATCATGTAAAAATGGCATTATGCTGGTTCCTACAGTGAGAACAAAACTGGGTAAAACAGCTTTTCAATATGCTGCCCCCACAGCTTGGAGCAATGTACAGAAGGAGCTGAAACTCTCAGATGTAATCACTATGGGGGAATTCAGGTCCATCTTGAAGGACAGAGAACACTACACCATTGGTAGATGTGAGTGCTCGTATATCCAAAAATTCAGTTTTAAATTTTGCCAGTTTTGAATGATTTTTAATAGTTTGTTTTATTTTGCATTTTGACTGGCTAATGTGCCATTTTATTTGTGTTTTACAGCTGTATTTGTCTGCCTGTCTTGTCTGTGTTTTATCTGTTGTTCGTTCATGCTGCCCTTCTTGGCCAGGTCACTCTTGGAAAATGAGTCTTTTACCTGGTTAAATAAAGGATATATATATTATTGAATTACTCGTATAACACATATTTATGAAGGCTTTTCTTAAAAACAACAAATGCATCTTGACAATTGACATTAATACCACATAAATCATAAAGAAATGTGCTTTTTGCTGACCCTGCCTACAGTAAACACAGTGCATTGTTCTTTCTTCACATCATTCATTAAAACACATCGTTTACACAGATGTGTCTAAACACATATCATCCACTCGTCTGTATTTAGTCTGAGCGAGCGCCACTTGCTGACCTGTGATTGGTCCCAGATGAAACGACTGTGTTGTGGTCGTCCCGCCTCTTTTGTGTGTGAACAACAAAGGAGGAAGTGAACAAAGCGACCAGTAGTTGATGAAGCGCTCTATGAAAGGCGATACACTCCATATACAGTACAGTGTGTGTAGGTGCACGAACAACTCGGACTGCTTGTTGTTACTTCAGTTTTCCACTGGGAAGGAGTCACTGCTCAAATATCTACAGACTCATCATTCTTACCCACTTCTAACTCAAGTAAAAAGTATAATTAAAGTCAAATAATATAGAAAAAAAGCATGGTGAATACTGGTATGGTTTGTGGATTGAGGCGTATACGGGAAAGTCTTTTTATTGGTTAGTTTGAATGGTTTTCAGCTCCGATTGTTACTTTTATTTATACTGTCCCTTACAATTGTATCCTTATGTAAACTCTTATCTGTCCCGTCCGGTTTTTACATAACAAAATGCATCTTCAGATATCTTCACTTGTGACCTGTCTGTGTTAGCCCTAAAGCATCTCCTTGTGTTTCCTCCCAGCTTCTCCCTCTGTGCTGGCTTCTCATCCTGCAGTCTTCAGGGGGATGGATCATTGTGGGATGGATCAGCGGGTGATTGATCAGCGGGTGATTGATCAGCGTGGGGGTGCAGAGAGCCCCGGCCTGCGGGACAGCGTCAGCCCCGAGGAGCGAGGGGACAGCCCGGCCTCCAGCGGACCCCCGCCCTGCAAACTGAGCCGACCCGAGGTCAACGGGAGCCCGGCAGCTCCCAAAAACAGACAGAACGGGAACCAACTGAGACCCCTGGGAGGTGAGGGGGTTACTCCATAATAACACACACTTTCGTCTTAGCACGACACTTTATTTCAGCCATCTTCACATACAACACACACACACACACACACATTTTTCATTGTTATAGCTGAACATACCAAACACAGAAAACACTCACGCACAGATGCCCATTATTCTCTCATGCATTTGAGAACATCTTCATGCATCATCACACAAACATTGTGACAGCACACACACACACACACACACACACACACACACACACACACACACACACACGCACACGCACACGCGCACACACACACACACACACACACACACACACACACACACACACACAGATATTAAGCTGCCTCCACCCGTCCTCTGAGTGAGGGCTGATAGCGTGCCTGATGCTGCTGTGGTTTGGCTGCTGGTGTGTCGTCAGGCGGAGGATGGATGGAGGGTTGATGGTGTGTTATTGATCAGCTCCTGTGGGACAGCAGGGGTGTGAAGAGTCCGGGAGGAAGAGATCTCAAACTCGCCCGACAACAAGTCCAGAACAAATCACTAAACGAGTTATGGCTATATGAGACGTGGTTGGGAGGGTTACTTTAAAAAATGTATTCCTTTACAATTACGTGTAATCTAAGCTTCAAAATATAAAAGTAACTTATTTTCTTTAGTTTTGAATTGCCTCAATATCAAATGCAATGCAAATACATTTTTCATATAGTAATAATAATAATATTATAACGCCTTTACAAGGGACCCAAGGCCGCTTGACATGGTGTGAACAAACAAACAAACAAGTTGGGCAAATAATAAAGTATAATTCAAATAAATAGCAGTGGAAGTTGAAGCAGGGGTTATAGGGTTAGGTCGTTCCTTGTTTTTAAATATACTTTAGCATAGTTATCCTGCTAGAAATCCCCATTTTTTAAAGTAATCTGATAACGTCTTGTTTTATGTATGCCAATACTGTCCAGCAGCGCTTTAAGAGCGGTTATGGAAACAAGTCTGGGGTTTTAATGTGCGGTGCAAACACAGATACAGTTGTACAATCTTACATTCACACTGGCAGCTGCCCAGTTCAACCAGAGCCTCGCAGTGAGACCACCGAGCAGCTTTACTGCAGCGCTACGTCACCACTGAGATGCTGCTTTGGCTTCTGCAGGAATCTCCTTCACACAGATCCTGTTTACTTAACACTGAGGCATGGAAAATAATCGTAGAAATCCTCGATTAAAGTTCCTCTTGGATACTCTTTCATGGACCAAAAATATGGAGGCAATGGCATCTCTTGATTGAGAAACATTGAGAAGAGTATCTGGGTTTTTAGAGTTTCTGTGCCTTGCTCAGGAGCAGCTAAACGGGTAACCCCACATTAACTCTCTCCTACCACATTTCCCTAATTGATACAGGTTTAAATCCAGGTTAGTTATTTAACTTGCAGACCCCTAAACGTGACCATTTATAGAAAATCAAAGAATGTGTTTTCTCCCCTTTTTTGGATTTCAAATGGTCGTCTTTTTCCTTAAAATGTCATTTTATGTTTGAAACAGCTTGACTATTGTGACTCTCTGAACTTCTACCCTGAATTTTGAGGGGTTTTTTTGGTAGCAGATGCAGTTTGCACCTTTTGAATGCTTTAACAAATTCAACAACCTGTTTTTTATTTATCTAAAGCTGTCTTATTCTGATAAGGAAGGAAAAAGGACCGAACAAAAGCGTATGAAAAATATGGATCTGGGCAAAAAGTCACTTCAACTTCCTGGAAATAGGACAGACTGCCCATACAATCTATGAGGTCTAATCCTATTCTTCTTCTATGTTTTCCCTGTGTGTGTCTCAGGGTTGATGATCCCGGTGTGCTGCGTGGTGGAGCATGCAGGCGGGGGGGCGGCGGGGGAGTGTGAGGGACATGGAGACCGTCACGCTGAGTTTGTGTTGGTGCATAAAGACGTCCTCTTCACGCAGCTGGTGGAGACGGCCCTGTCCGCTCTGGGATACTCACACAGCTCAGCTGCACAGGCAAGTGGTAAGTAGAGTGTGTGTGTGTGTGTGTGTGTGTGTGTGTGTGTGTGTGTGTGTGTGTGTGTGTGTGTGTGTGTGTGTGTGTGTGTGTGTGTGTGTGTGTGTGTGTGTGTGTGTGTGTGTGTGTGTGTGTGTGTGTGTGTGTGTGTGTGTGTGTGTGTGTGTAACTCGACTCAATATCAAATCAATTAAATCAAATATGAATACAGGAAAAAAAATGCAACCCTTTCTGTCAATTCAAATATGACAATTATGTATTTTTAAGTCATGATGTATACACTGTAGTGAAAGGAACATTTTGAAGTGGATCAGTAATCCAGAATAGAACAGGGTCTGATAATCTGTTTGCATAACTTTAATGAGTCTTTGGTGGCGAATCTGAGACTCCATTAAAAGCATATTAAGGCCGTGTTTTTATCTGCTGACAGCCAGGGTGGTTTCCACTTCCTGCTCAGCTCCAACCGCCTCCTCCACCTTGACAAAAGCTGCTTTCATTTCGTGGTTTCACTGAAACCAAGTCCAAGCTTCAGTGATGTCACATCCTGTTTTTCTGCTGGTCAAAGTTATTGACAACTACAAAAATAATTAAAAGAAATAAAAGTCCCCTCGCATGTTAAACCAAAATGTCCTCCGCCCTTCATGTGGGAAACGCAGCGATCTAGACTTCTTCATTATTACTCGTTAATGGGAAACATCTCATGGGTTTTTCTTTGATAATTGATGAGAAATTAACGATTTCCAGCACCGAGTAACAGTGGCTTCCAGATGGGTTTGCCACATGGCTTACAGTGAGATGTTTAGACGATCACGGAAAAAGGTATTTACCACGAAGGTATGTCAAAGATAAGGATTCCTCCCACCTGGTTAGAGCAAACACTGAATCCATGTGGCAGCTTCTCATCGTCTTCAGATCAAAACAACAAGGCAGACAAGATCCAGTCAACCATGAAACAACAGCCTACACACACACACACACACATTCCTGGTGTGTCCCGTAAACACAGGGCACTGTAACCATGCGGCCGACGCCCTGCGACCCCCCCCGCCTCTCCCAAATGGCTAGGTTTTGTTCTGAGAAATAAGCATTTTCTTTTCAAATAAATAATTTTTGGCCGTAGTCGTGCATTTTTTCCCCCGGTGTGGTCACGACCAAAATTATACAGAGTCTATTCTATTTTCTTCTGCCATTGAATTGCATCTTGCATAACTCTGGCTGGACGAGTATATTTAAACTCTTAAACTGGCACAGGGGCTTTTTTTCTTTAATTAACTTGCACATTATGGCTAATTAAAAAGCAGCTATTTCTTATTTAGATTATATGGTTTACTACTCTGGGTTTGATATGGGCTAAGGTGAATAGCGTGGGAAACTGAAGGAGAGTTTTGGGAAGCTTTCACTGATATTACTCACTCAGAAATAACCATTTACCGAATTGCAAACCACCAAAAGTTCCCAGAAACTACCCAAAAGTTATTTTCAGATATCTCTCAACCCAATTATGGTTTAAAATTAACTCCTTGAGTTTGAAGTTAATCAATAGTTTCTCATGTCTGTAATTCTGAAGTGAGCCGGTTGCTCCAGAGATGTTCTTGCATAGTAAAAACGGTCAATTTCTGATGTATTTAATGTTATACTCATACATTAATTCTATATTTAAGTTGTATTATTTGGCATTTTTGCACTTCAAAATCGTGTTACTTTTGAACCTACATGATGAGTTGAAGCCAGCAGATAACCGTAGTGACTTATTTCGAGAGGTAAGAGTGAGTTAGTGGATAAAATAAGATCGGCTTTTCTCGTTCACATCAGTAAGGCTTGATGAGGTAAATTAACACTCGCTTTTAAACCAGAGTCAGCTGCAGGGCACATTAAAACTGCCAGCGATACAAATACACATTATTCTGTGAGACAGCAGAGGGATGAGCTCACAGTGTTTACTCCGTTCATCTCTTTCTGCCTCTAATGCTGAGCTGATTTGACTTTTCTCCTCTGATTAATCAACTGTGGAGTCCAAAGAGAACGCCCTTTGTTCTTGCACCCCTATCACCACCATCCTCATGCAGTGAAGACACCACACACACACACACACACACACACACACACACACACACACACACACACACACACACACACACACACACACACACACACACACACACACACACACACACACACACACACACACACACACACACACACACACACACACACAATTGAGGCTGGCAGGCCAAGGCCAGGCAGGGTCTGTGTTTGATTTAGCAGATCCTAACGCGATTAGGCCTGTTTAGATTTGCACTTCCAGTCACGGTTGTTGGAAGGCCGGGGGAATGTTGAACCCGGGATGATGCTGCAGGACTGAAACACTCCCCAAGACACACACACACACACACACACACACACACACACACACACACACACACACACACACACACACACACATAAAACGATTGATAAGAAAACGCAAGAACATGCAAACCAGAATTCTGACAGCCGATATGAAATTTAAATCTCAACGTTTATATCTTAAGTGTGTTGTATGAAGCCCTGTTGGAGGAGTCTGGGTTTAAAGATGTTCAATGCCAACAAGTACACACTAGCTATTGTGCAAATGACAATAAAACCGTTGAATCTGTGTTTGTTTGTGTTCTCCAGGCATCATTAAAGTGGGCCGCTGGAAGCCGATGCCCGTCCACTTCCTGACGGACGCTCCGGAGGCCACGGTGGCCGACATGCTGCTGGACGTTTACCACATGGTCACACTGCGCATCATCCTGTACAGGTCAGCATGGAGTGGCTATTTAACACTTATTTAATGCTAATTATATGGGAAAGTCAGACTGAAGCATCCTTTGAGCTCCAGTCAATCCTCTCAGTAAATACAGGGCTGAATCCCAGATCAAATGCACGCTGAAGGCTCTTTGAGCATGTTTTCTCTCAGTGATTGTGATATTGTGTCTTGATATTTGTCCATGTTGATGTTACACATGGAGCTGCTGGTCACATTTCTCACTTGATCTGACCATTCAAGTATTATCGTATCGTATCGTATGGATTATGAGCAATATTGAACTATTAAAGTCAAGCTGCTTTTAGTGGCTCGAAACAGATATTTAATATGATAAATTGTTTTCATTTCCTTTGTGAAAAAGCCCCACAGAATGGTTAAGTATTCCCTTTTTTTTCCTCACAATAAGATCATACACGACTGTGTAGGTTTACCATCTATCACCTTTAAAACGTTATTATTTTTAAATCTTATACTGGAAGTTAAGAATCTTACAAGATAATCAATTTTTAACCTAATCTACCTTGACACTAGTGTTTTTTATAAGATGGAAAGCAGGTTCTGAACACGGACAAAGCACTTCTTAGAGATAACGGCCCGTCCACACAGCAGCGTTAAAAAAATCTTGGAGGTGGGCGTATCTGAAGCTTGGGGATTTTTTGCGAGCAAGGCACCAACAACCAATCACATGAATCTCCCGCCCCCGACATACGAAACAAAACAGTTTGAAGTAAACTGGATATAAACTCCCCAAACAGGCGAAAACCTACCACTGTCTCTGCCACCTCCCTCCATGCCTGGCTCCTCCGGTTTGTATCCCGGTAGGTAAATAGGGACTGGTCATAAAGCACCGGGTGATTCCCTACCGCTAATTTCTCCTCCATGTTTTGGAATATGAGGAAATGACCTGCGGTATGTCTCTCCCAGCATACACGCGGTTTGATTGGCTAGCGCTTGAACTGTCAGATTTGCATACACGGGATTTGATTGGCTGACGCTTCCACCTCAGCTTCAAAAGTTGAACATTGCTCAACTTTTGAATCCTGAAAATCCTGAAAATCTCCGCTCTGCTGCCCACAATGCAGTTCGGCGAAAAGTGAGGCAAAGTGACGTCACCCCATTCAAAGTGAATGGGCAGAAGCGTTCCAAGATTTTTTAACGCTGCTGTGTGGACGGGCCGTTACTCTTGACTCAGTACTGCTTCTTTGAATTAAAAAACAGTATTCTAGTCATTAGAGCAGGTGGATTTAATG